CTCCTAGATAGAGTGAATTTGATTGTGGTTGAATGAGAAGTATAAATACGTATATAAAATTATGATACAATATTAGTTTGTACACAAACAAATCATGTCACACTGCAGCAGGACATAATCATTAAAATAAAAGTACTGTACTTAAGAAGTATATGTAGTTCATGAATTATATTATTGCATTTGGCCGCAGCCCTCTGATAGATTTTCATTTTAAAGAAAAGGTTTGAGCAGCCTTGATATATGTGTATAAACTGAAACAGATAGACGAATGCATCTTAAATTTAACATGAATTAAACATTATTTTAATAGATATAGTCATTTCTGCATTTTTTTTGGGAGGTCACCTCCTAATAAATGTCCTTATTGAAAATCTAACTGCTCATTTTAAATCAATATTTTTACTTTTAATACTTAAATACAAAAAAATCAGATACTTTAAGACTTTTACTCAAATAATATTCCTAAAGGAGACTTTAACTTTTACCAACGTAACTTTTTGGTAAGATACTTGTACTTTTACTCAAGTATCACTTTGTGGTACTTTATAAAACACTGTCTGTGACAGCATGGAGGAGGATAAACGAAGATCAAAAAGGGCAACGGCTCACATACACCATAGCAACTAATAGATGACCAGCAAGCCAAACTGGATCTGTTTCACAAATTATCTGTAATTATTTTAACAATAAATTAATAACTATGTTAATTTCATTCAACAATCATGTAAAACAGCAGATATATACCAGAAAATATATATAATTTATAAATAACAATAATTTAAACCAGACCTGAAGTCAGCCTGTAACTTAGAATTTTTAGCTAGTTTAAAAACGATGACTTCAGCTAGTAATAAATTATATTTATTATTTCTTCTTACTGTCATAAAAATAATAATAATACATATTTACCAGTCACTTAGAAAATGTTCTCTGTATACCTGTTATAGGATGAAACTTGTCTCTATTAGCAAAATATCTTCTCAACAGGTCAGGTTCCTCTTACAGAAACCTAAAAATACTCACATTTATAATACTATTTTACACTCTGTGGGTCTAAATATTGATCAGGGGACAAATTAGCTGTAATATTTAATAGTTTGTGTTAAATTGTAGCATGATTCAATGGTGCTACACTCTGTGTATGTGCTCCACAAGCTAATACCTGCTAACCAGTTCAATAAATAACAGTGATTACATCAGCGTTATTCAATTATTTTAATTTTAAACTATTATACTACTAGCTTCAGTTCTGCTCAGATCACACTGAGCTAAATAATATCAAATTTGCTTGCTTGTGTTGTAAAATTAGATGTTTTCCTGTTTATTTTCTGTTAATAAACCCATAACACAAACAGCTTTTCTAGCATTATCTAAAGCATAGATTATATAAACTGTAAAATATCAATAATAATCTTGTTAATATTATTAATGATTTCTACATTGTCAGTCCATTTTTCTGCTCTGTCGCCACATGTACAGTAATGGTAAATCCAGACTATTGACCGTTTTGCATTAGCCCTTAGCTTCACCACCCGATCACATGGTCACGTGGTTTCTGAGCACTCCAGTTGTTCTTTTTTTTATTTATTTTTTGATGGCCTCCCTTCTCCCCTTATAGCCAACCTCTCCACACCATTATGTTTTTGTTTTGTTTTGTTTTTTTGTGAAGAGAAAATAGAGAGAGAAAAACAGAGAAAGAAGTTAGAAAGATAGAAAGACTGAAATAGCGATTAGGAATATATTAAATATACACCATAAAAACACAGGACCACACACCCAACATCTGTCCGCTCACCTGAAAAATAAATGGATAAATACATAGAGGGCATATATAAAAATATACACATACCCATACATATATAAAGATATACATACATGCATGCCTACATTCATAAATATTGTCCGTATATACACATAGACATGAATACACACTCAGTGACCTGTCAGAACCCCCCGATCAGAGCACCTGTTTGTGAGCAGTTGTGAACATGCGTGTATATACAAGATTTCTCCAATGGAATATTTAATAGTGACTGTGGAGGACCGGAGACCCAGGAAAGCAGATCCAGGAAAGGGCACAGAGGTCCGGGCCCCCAGGGCGCACCCCCTCCAGGCC